ATAAATCACAAGGTGTACAAGGTTCAAATGGACAGAATTAGATGAATTTCTCTGCCGCTATTTGTTTTCAGGGACATGTCTCTGGTAAAGGGGATTCAAAGGAAAATAACCATCGGACAATGATACATCCCCCGCTCACTGGATCAGCCCTCTTTACATCGAAGCATTTTCGAATTCTTCAGCAGAAAGAAAAACGCTTCAGTGCCATTCAAGAAGGTGCATTTCAACCCATTGATGACCGCGTGGGCCGCTGGCAAGCCACACTCCCATGTGGAAGGGACTCGTCTCGCTTGATTTATGTGCCACTTTTACGTGTTTAAAGCAGTCTTTTACCTTCGCAGCGTCCCTTTTCGCGTTACCAGTAATGAACTTCTGGAATTTCAGCGTTACTAAAATTAAATGAATAAAAAGTTTGCCATCACATGTACACCGGCGTTTATCAATGGGTTGATCCTGCCAAACAAGGATCATCGATTTAAATGAAGGAAGCTACACCTTCGAGCTTCACTACAGAAGCTAAAGAGCAGTTAATATGTTATTGCACGCACCAATGAATAATTGAGTACGAATTTTTAATTATTCAGTCGTGTCGTAGCTAGCGATCAGCAAATGACGCTGTTCTCATCGCCCACCTCTGACGACACAACTACATAATTCAAAAGAACCATAAAGACAACACATATCGCTTCCCGGAAGACACATTTGACGAATAACAAAGAACAAGATAAAGCTTTCGGCCTTGATGAAGCCTTTCTAGAATACGCCACGCACTCTACTTCCACACGTAGTGCTAGGCAGCATTAAACTGGGCGAACTTGTCTTATAAGAGACTTTCAGAAGCTAGGATCAGGGCGCAGCCGAAACGTGGAAAGGCTTCAAATGATGTAATGTATGGATTTTTTTGGCGGGGGAGGGGTGGGGGGGGGGGGGGGGGGGGGGGGGGGGGGGGGGGGGGGGGGCCTAGGAATAACGACTTCCCCTAATGCACCTCTCCCTGTCGCATCTCATACATTGAACTAGATGTTTGTCTGCAATTGGTTTTCATTGAACTTCCAGGTTTCCGCCGAGATCAGACCACAAAACGTGCTCGGTGAAGCGACAAAAATCGCAATTTCAGAGATCATTTCTCGTGCTCAGTACTGTCAGGAGTAGAAGAGCTCAAAAAAGAGAATGTTATGAAAAGGCTCTTGTTGCTACTGCACATAGAGGTACGCTCAAAAATGGACAACGATAGAGTCCATAATCTGGTGTCAATTCGTTCCCAAAATGGCCAGAAACCAGATCTGACCCACGAAACTGAGAAGTTTTCAACCAAGAGCTGAACAAAATCCAACCGCGGTCATCTACCTGGTTTGAGAAACCTTTCTATAGGGATAACTGCGGGGTCAATCCTGCAGTCATGAAACTCGTATCGTTTTAAAGGAACTCGTGTTCCAATCCTCGCCGACACCAAAGCTTCGCAACTGGTTTCATTAGTCTATTTCCCCGCATTCGCGGAGAACTCGTGACCATGAATTCCTGCGCCAAGATTTTGTACCCGAAAAAGATTGAAAGTCCAGATCGAGATAAGTACATTCGCGGGGATATTAAATGGCCACCCATATGAGTTGAACTGCTATATATCGAGAAAATCACCGAAAACTTCCTGGAAGATCACATGTCAACGTTGAAAAGAGAGCGCTTGCAAACGCCATTCATGACGCTCTGGGACCAGGAACTACTCCCAACAGCTTATCAGTTGATCAACATTCGGCGCCTACACATTGTCCACTTATCGTTGGTACACACGCGCGAAATGTGAGGGTTCCTTTTAGTTCTAATTTGTTAATAGATATCCATGAGCTATTCTGTGAATCCTGCGAATGCGGGGGATTACCGTAAAGGAGAACAAGAATATCTATGAGCTTATTCAATTTTATCACCTAGACAAAGGATAAAACAAAGATTGGGTAACAGATACCGAGTAAGACATTCCTCAATACATGAATGAACCTATGACGCCCCAATTCACAAAAACCCCTTCGTCCTAATCGAGTCAGGGTCAAAGTTTCAGACCGAGGTCAATGTCATTAGCCGATCTACGAAAGTTATTTGACCATGAAAGCTCATGGTCACACCATAAACACCACACCTCATCAAATTCCTTCTACTAGGCGCGCATCTAACAGTTGGACCAGACAGTCACGGACTTGGTACGCGCTCTTGATCGGGTTGTCAAAGGCAAACTCAGAGACAACGACTCAAATGTTATTACAGCCCTTAAATGAAACACTTGGAACATTCTACTTTGGCCACACCAAAACCTTAAGGGAGCTAATGCAAAATGGTATAATACCCACTGTTTCAGCGGTCCCAAAAGAAACGGATGATCATTTCAAAATGGACAGGAAGATGAAAAAACATCAACTGCGGTTCTCAAATTTTTCCTAAAAACTGCCGTAGCGCAAAAATGGACAGGAGCTTCGGAACGGCCAAAACAAACCATGTTTTCCTTTTGAATGCCTATGCTTAAATATGGTCCCGCTTTCCGAATCTAACATACAGTCAGTTTATAGGGGGCAGGGTTATCATGCCATGTAGGGTGAAAATCGGTCAGGGGTCCATCGAGGATTTTTACTTCGTCCATTCGCTCTCGCCACGCGCGAGCCGTCTGTGCTCTCCTGCGCGTACATTCACTCTTCACACTTTTCTCAGACAGTACAGAGCCATCGTCGAGGACTTCCTTGCCCGCTTTTCATCTTGACTCCAGGTCATGATTGGAAATTGAGTGCACGGCGCATCCGCGTGAAACTAATCATCGAGGACAATCATTTTCACCAGAATCAAGATGACAATTACTACGCTATACCGTATCAACCTTCTCTAGCTGATAAGGCGCTGAAACATCGGTTCCGGATTTCATACTGTCTTGGTGCTAGTATTTGGGATATTTTCGCCCGCAGACAAGACAAAGTCCAGTCTACCGTGAAATGAAACATTACTACAAAAACAATGCTCGGGATCCAAAAATACATCAAAACAATGCGTTGGAATGTGGTCTCGTGACAAAATCTGGCGCGTTCACACCCATAATGGTCTATGATATCGCTATTCATAGATTTCTCTCACCTCCGACGGGTTCAAAACACAAATATTATACAAATTCCTCGAGCGCCTACTAAATAGGATTTATGATGAGTCTCTAAAGACTGAGGAAAGGCTCATATGGTTTCGAGGGTTTTGTGTGAGCAAAAACCAGCAAGTGTTTGATCGAAAAACGATCGTATAAAAGAAAATAAATATATCAAGGTATGCGCCATGCAGCTGAAATCCGTTCAGGACAGCGCACTGATTTACAGAAAAGAAAATTTTTTCACGTACGCTCCATAAATATAGTAAAAATGAAGTTAAGTAATTGTCTCGATAAAAACTGCCAGACCTAAGATCCTCGATGTTTTCCGCAACTAGACGGAGAGCCCGGAGAGGCTGTTGAAAGAGGCCCATCTTGAAGCGCAAACAAACTGCATCCTCAGATGTCATCCACAGCTGAACATCGCACCTGCTGAATACCCTTGACTCTCAAGCCGAGGTTTATTTACAGTCAGCTACAGATCAACATGTCATATGCGCAAGTAGTGAGATTCCGCTCCAAAAGGTGGAATAATGAACAACGTAAACTCTAGCATGCCCTGAAGGCCAAACAAAGTCATCTAGTCGACGGCTTGAATTCATTAAGTCCGATAGTTTGTTGTGGAAATAGAGCTGGCGCATAACCATACGCACATGTCCTTTCCGCACCCTTTCTTCAAGAATTAGGTTGGATAGGAAGGATATTAATTCATGCCAAATGAGCCCCCTCACCAGAAGCCCCATAATGACTCAAGAAATAAAAGTAAACCCTATAGTAACCCGCTACAGTTAAGAATAACGCCACCCTTTACGGTAATAAACATAGATTCCCATCAGTTTCGTTTGATCCGGTGATTTAAGTGCGCTGATTCACATTGCTGAGGCCATTCTTTAAAGCAACAGTTCAGGGAGGGTCCGAAAATTTCAATGCCACTACTACTGAGGGATACACGAGCCCTAGTGAAGAACATATGCAGTGGAAATAATAAACGAACTTACCTCAGAAACTCAAAAACAGGGTGGAAAGTCCCTCAAACATGGGTGTTCTTGGGGATTTCCCCAATCCCGCCCCCTTGCCGGCCGTCATTGGACGCGTCGGCAATCGTGCTCGTTTTGGGACCACAGGGAAAATTGATTGAAAAATGGAGCGCGTTTACAGCGGGCACGTTCAGACAACTCGTCCAACGTGCGTCTTTATCCATTGCTGAGCGGCAGAGGGAGAGTACCTGTCTAAGACCCTCCCCGACGTTTTTTTCCCAGTTTTTCATACATTAATCGTCTGGTTTTCATCTACAACTTCATTATTGGTGGTTTTTTCCCGCGAAACCGTTCCTGAACTGTTGCTTTAACGTCATCGTGTATCATCGTTCAGTCATACGATAGCTCCCTTAGCCGACTACTCGATCACCGAACACCTTACGGCACACGCGTATCGTACTCTCATCTCTGATGCCATACCGAACATTTCCCAAACGCCATCATGTGACCGCTTGTGACCCTCGAAATGCTTATTGTTAGATACGCTTACTTTTTTGGTTCCATGACAATCAGGGAAAAAAATTTGATCTATAGCCACAGCCATTTGTTAGAGGGTGGCTAAAAATAGCCCACGAAACCTGACGTGACGGTGCAAAGAAACGTGACAAATTACACGGGCATTCGAGGAAACCAGGAAGTAGAAGTCTTAAAAATAAAACAGAGTCCATTTTCGGTCCTCGGCTTGCCCTCAGGTGAATTTAAACTGATCTTTACTGCCAGAAGAAGAAGGAATACTTCGAATGCACAAAATGAAATATGAGCGCGTTTCAAAGCCATAAACACCACTTCACTGAGACGGCTGACCTATCATGGAAAACATTTCTAAGCGGAACCTTTGAGAATTGTTCAATTTGCTAAACTTGTGCAGCAATGAGAAGATTACGGTAGGCTGTTTGCTTTGCAAAATACGGAATCATGTGCAGAAGAAAAAAAGAAACTTCACAACAGACGGGGAATCGCTTACCGTGTAGAAGGGATTCTTTCATGAACGCCATCGTCGTCTCGAATGTCATCTTCTGAAGAGGTGACGATGACGACGACATTGCTCCACGATTGAACGGCGCTATTTGACCGGTAAAGGTCATGTAATCAGCCGTTAATGACAGATGTCGCTTTGACACTTCAATACCGTACACGGCGAAAACGTTGTTCATCTCCTGAAAAGCAAAATCTTTAGGATAAAATGTACACGGAACGATCAATGTGTCATTTGCCCTTCCTTGACCTTCCTTCCTCTTCTTCATCCCCTCAGAACTCTCCACGTTCGGGGTGCACTTTTCGTAGTTCATTTCGTAGCCCGGACCGTTCAGTATCGGTCACAATCGTACCCGGACGATCAGGATTTTTCCCAAACAATTCGAGCTTTCCAAAATCATACACCACGACCAGTTATTTGTTTTGGTGATTTATTTACTGACAAATGAAATTCCAATCAAAATGTCTGTTTATCACAGCGACCTGTCCCAATAGCAACCACAGCTTCCATCTGTCTTACCCGTTAGAGGTTGATGAGACCCGCTGAAGCTGACGACTACTATTCAACCGGTCTCGCACGTGTTTGCCATTACAATGAGCGCTCTAGACCCACGTGTTCCTCCCCCCCCCCCCCCTGACAACCCTTCACACTGGTGCAGTTTAGAAACTAGCCTTTGCAAGGCGAACGACTTTGAAGCATCCGGATCTTAATGAGATTTGCTGATGTTTGATTTTTGAAACGACCTTAATATCATCGTAATATCCACTTGAATCTGGTTGGCGCAACATTCATGGACGGAAGTTTGAGATCAAGATATTAAGCCGAATAATTGCCGAAAAACGATAATTTCCTGAGGGTAGGAGGGCTTTACTTCAATATCAAAAATGAGACCACATGATTTTTACAAAATCGGAACACGCAGCCAATTTCAGCCGGAACTGAGCTCAAAAACCGATCAACCAAAATGGAATAGAGGCTGAAGCAGGTCGATTTTGGATAATGCAAAATGTGCGTCATTGGCCAGCCCCAAATTGAAGCTCTGTTAGGTGCCTTGATCGTGTTTATTGCCACAGAGTGGTTTCATTGCACTAAGAAATATTGTTCTTCTCATGAAGCCTCATTTTTCAGTTCCGAAAGAAATGAACACTTACGATCAGAGCAAGTCAAAACCATGCGACTCCCGCTTATAACTGAGAATCTAAGCTGATAATGGTTCAATCATACTCAAAAAAAGAACGCGGCGCTGGAGAGTTCAAAAAAGTGATCTATACCGGTAGGGACAATTTCTCCAGATACAAATTTGTAGCCAAAGACCAGGCCTAGACATGAAGGGAGGTTGATTCTAGATCTAAGCTCATTACAGCTCGAACTCCATTTCTTTACTGAACCCCCTCTTCGCCCACACTACCCCAAACGACTTGAACAGTTGGACTGTTCAGCGCCACATTCGTGCCAAACGCTTTCCCTTCAACCCTCACGTCAAAGCCCCATCGCACTTGAATTGGTGATTCTAAACTCCCAATTCCTGAATATATACATTTCACACATGAGAGAACTAATTTCATTCGATTCCTATGAACACAGATCTTGGCTATTCACTTATTCCTGTTTAGAATGGCTCTTTCTCTAACTATTCATGCATACAGAATAACTAATACCGTAATGCGTCGCGTCAAGGTAGTCGCCGCCGAAACGGTTTTCCGTGCTTCTCTTTTTTTGCCAAAAAAATCAACGTTATCTCGAAATTTTTCTTTTGAACATCCTGATTCTTCAAGGCTTGAAAACACTAGAAAACATAGTATATCAATCTTTGGAGGGCGTTGCTCAAGCGAGAAAAATAATGCACTAAAAATCGTTTCGGCGAACACTTTTGACCGCTACTGTATCTTCTAAGACTCGCATGGAGAATTTAACCCATGGATGAATTTTTCAATCCCTCCAACCATAACCCCTCCCCTCCCCCTTTGAATTGAAAAAATTGAACTGAACTTGATGAATTTGCAAAAAAAAACTTTGCTAAACCACAACAACCAGACCACTTTCCTACGCCACAGCGCTCTCCCTTTCAACGTTCTAAGAAGCACTTGTTCATGTGGCGCCTAAAAACTGATCACGAGCAAGAGAATCTTTGCTCATGATCAGTTCTTAGGTGATCACAGTCTAGTAAATTGGACAGAAATCGTGATCAGTAAATGGGCGTGCTGTTAATCAACTATTCAACTCATCGTCATCGCCTATCAAATGTACTATGTTTTTGTCTTATTTGTTGCCTAGATGTTGTACAGTGAAAAACGCACTTTTGATCAGTGATTAGCGATCGGAAGCGAATACCGACCTCGTCACTACTCGGGGCTATTAGCGACATTATTTCGGGAACACCACCCCTCTTATTTCAACCTTTGAAGTTCTCCAAGAAAACCTTCAACAGATAATTTCAAAATTGAACATTTTTACATCGAATTTGCTATACTAACGGCTATATCAAACACTAGAAACACCATTGTCATCCCCTATGGCAAAAATTGTTTCTAAAGATCCCGAAACCACTTCAACTTTTACGTTTGTGAACCAGCCTTGTAATCGATCACAAACAATCTGTTACGATTCTCGAACAACTTCATATAAAATGTTCACCCAGCTAGTTCCCAGTTCAATCGATCGACACTACAGAAGATCGTAGACCCTCTAAAAATAGTGCGGAAGCTTTTCGAAGGAGAAGTGAGAGACAGAGATGGGACAGAGAGCGCACGACAGTAGACCGTGCGCGAACGCGGTTTCATGACGTCGAAAGACCAAGGGGCGGCAGCACGACGACGGACGAGTCTACCACCATTCAGCAAAAAACTGCGCCGCAATTCACCTAGACATCGCCGCGCTCGTAGAGACGCAGTCATCGGCACGACCGTAACCGAGGCACAAGTTTCGTGGCGTACAGTTCACACTGGCGACACGGTACGACACAAGGACGCGGACGTCGAGGCGATGTGTGATGGAGGCCGTCGGCGCCATGCTGCCGCCGCCATTTCCGCACCACGCACGGTCGTGGCCATCTCGTAACGGCCACGGACACATTTCACAATTAGGAGGTCATTTCTTGTATCGGTCGGTGCAGAAATGACAAACGAATTGAAATGCACTGACCTAGGAAGGAATTCCTCGAAGACTAAACCAAGCCAAACCTTGTCCGGGAAGGAATATATGAGGTTCAATTCGGGGGCACTTTCCAGTCACACGCCACTTTCACGATTACAACCATTCCCAACATCAATCATGTCGATGATCATCACGGAAATAGATTGCACTTTGAACCCGAAAATGGTTCCACTTCTTGAGAGATTTGCTAAATGCAAAGTCTTCGTTTGATTTTATGAAAATGATGATGAATTAGCCTGCACAGAATGAGAAAACTGGTTGCGGGCATTTTTTGGACATAACCTTCAAAATTATGGCAACTCTCAACCTTCAGAAAACGCTTTCAAAGAGACTGTGCATAAAACGAACCGAAGAAATAGTAAATTTTTTAGATAAACATCCACAGATAGGCCGATGTCAGACTTTGCGAATCGCGATTCGCTACTAGCGATTCGCTAGCGTCCGCGGTCGCGTTGCGGTACCAGCCAATTGAGTGATTCACTGGCCGCGACGCGACCGCAGACGCTAGCGAATCGCGCGATTCGCAAAGTCTGACATCGGCCATACCCACCCTCAACTACTGACCTGCCTACGAACTGAGCCCCGATGTAGGTGAAAGAGGAAACGACATAAAATGAGGAAGGGCGATACTATGGTGGGAATTGTAGACGGTTATGCCATCCTCAGGTCTTTGAGATTCTTTTCGCTGAGCTATACGTCTGCAACTCTAGAACATAAAGTGCTGTGGAGTCGCTAGACCCACTCCTTGGCCGTCTTCTCCAGATACCAGACTCCCAAAATCGCCTTACTTCTACAAGTCTACGGCACGCTACATTGATGAACGTTCTTCTCAGTTCTGTTTGAGTCATTCAACTGATGCCCAGTGAGTGCTATGCTCCTCAACTCAGTGAGTATTTAGTCCTTGTAGCCGCTGTTATCGGTTTACCACCACACTGTCCACCAGGCCTGGGGCCGTAAGGTATGCTTCCCCGAAGGGTTAGGGGACGAAAGTTCCTTTAAATTTTCTCTGTAGTCCCAACTGGGATTGTCCTGATAAAGGGCCTACATCTAATATATGTGTGTAGCTTAAAGTAAGCATGCATTGAAAATAAAGAAACAGTATCGTTCAAAACAAAAAATTTAAAGGGACTTTCGTCCCCGCAACCATTCGGGGAAGCATACCTTACGGCCCTGATCTCGGCAATTTTTCCAAAACATCGAGGCATTGCTACTCGTCTAGGTTCACCAAAGAGATCGCTGTAGCCAACACTGTTCCCTTGAAAGAACTTATTCAGCAAAGCTACACTGAATCGATTCACAACATGTTCACCCATACCACTCGGGCCATGTGAACTTTAGCGTTCCAGAAATCGCCACTCAATCACAAAATCGCTCCAACTGCCCTATACCTTTCACACCGCCAGAGTTCAGTATTTGAACATCACATGACTACCAGTAAAATTCTAAGAATCTTTTTGAGCTGTCCAAAACTTCACGTGAATGAACTCAGTCAATAAGAGGGGTATGTTTTAGAAAAATGATAACAATCTTCTATCACCCAATTATGACAGTCACCACAAGAGCGACAGGCACTCTAGAAGGCAAACGCGGATGGGTAGGTGAATGGTGTCAACCCGACGAGCTAGAATGAAAAAAATAGCAAAAACACCAAGAATTTCAATATTTTCAATAGTCCAAACATTGCAAATGGGTGGTAGAAAACAGCTGAGGGTGTTAGGGCGCCACTAACAGAACTTTGAAATTGGGGCATCGACGATTTTCATGGAAGAATTGGTAGTCCTAAATTTGAAACCTTAATCTCATAGACAAACAAGTGACCAAGTGAAGCCAAATACTCAGTCGCTTTATTACCTTCTCGACACCTGATAAACAACTACTCTTGGGTTGTCAGAAGGCAACACGCGCTATGTCTTCGTCCCACTATTAGAAGATTTATCAATAAAGAACTTGCACTCTTACCAGATAATGCTACAAGGAACATGAACAACCAGTAAAGAGGCTATGGTACGTATACCATGAAAGAGC